GGCGCCTCGGAGGCTGCGGCCAAGTTGATGCAGCGGCCAGCCCCCTGCCGCCCCCTGCCGCCCCCTGCGCGGCCAGTAATTGAATGTACACCGTATGAGTTACCGCTAGGCCTGCCGGCCGGCCTGCCCGACGGCCGGCATTGTGTCGCGGGGCAAAGGCCTCGGCGACGACGAGACCCCCCACGTCCTGGCCGGCCGGCCGTCGTCGCGGGGACAGTCGCTCCGCGGCCGCGGCGGCGCGCTGCTTTGCGTCCTCGGCTTGCGGGCTGCACAGGGGCATCGCCTCTCTCGCTCACTCACGTCGGGCCCACCGTAGGGCCCGTAGGGGTGCGAGAGAGACAGCGACGAGGACTGGTCGGATTCGCTCCGCAATGCCGTCCGACTCGACCAACTATGGTAGAGTTGCGGCATGCCAGTGCACTGTGGGGCCGCTGGCCGCTGCGCCCGCTGGCGCGCTTCCAGGCGCCTCCTGCATCCCATTGCAGATTGCAGTGCAGCTGCGGCTCGCTGCACCGGCTGCACCGGACACCTGCAGCTCTGCGGCCCGCGGGGGCACGCCACGGCACGCCACTGCACGCCGCCGAGGTGCCAGCAGCAGCAACAACAACCAACGGCACTGCTAGACTGACACGTGCCGCCCGCTCCGCTCGCCGCCCACCAGTGTGCCGACGCGCAGTACGGCTGCAGTGGCCGATACGCCGATACGTCGCGGAAAAACAAACTGCCTCGGTGGCGCTACGACGCTCGGCGCTCTCGCCACGTGGGGCCGCCGCGTCGCCGCGCCGCCAGGTCATCAAACGGTGCAGGCTGCACAACAGTGCCCCCTCTGTCTGGACTCCGGAGCCAGGAGCCATTGAGCCGGGTCGTCTTCTTTCTCCTGACGGGCGGGGCCTCGATACACGTCCCTGGTTGCGGCCACGGCTTTGTGGCCGACACTGTGACCAGTAACTCGGTCGGCGTCGGCGCAGCGTCAGGAGGGGCGCCGCCGCTCCGTCTCTGTCGATGTGTCCCTGTTCCTCTTATTCGGCGTCCGGTGGAAGTGCGAGAGGAGCAGAGCGACGGGGACTGAACGCGCTCTTCGGAATCTTTCTGACCACCAGAGCCCCTGGCAGGTAGGCCGTCCCGCCGCGCCCTTCTGCATTCGGGACAGCCAGGCGGCGTGTCTCGGTGGATTCTGATTAGTACTCGAGTGCGGGGGCGCGGACGCTGACGACAAACTCCGTACACTTTGCGCCACGGCGCCACGGCGGCGGCCGACCGCCCCAGACGGTGCTGCTCGTGAACGGGATGTGTAGCGGCTATCTGGAGCCGGCCTGCGCCACGCCGCGGCCACGCCGGGGCAACGCACGCACGCACGCACGCACGCACGCACGCACGCACGCACGCACGCACGCACGGCGGCCGGTGCCCCGTCTTGCCCAACCTCGCCCGGCCGGCGTGACCCTTGACCCGAGGGACCCCCTGCGGGGCCTGCGGGGCCTGCGGGGCCGGCGGGCCTCGAAGGGCTCCCTGCCATTTCAGCGCAGTCGCTTCCTGTCTGGGAATGAGGTCGCAACACGCCAGGCAGCGCGGCAGCGCCAGGAGGGCGGGGCGGGGCCCTGCAGGGTCCTGCAGTGCAGGGCCCTGCAGGGCTGTAGGGCTGGTCCTTGGGCACGCGGCGGGGCGGCGGGGCGGCCCGGCCCTTCATTATACCGCACCGTGTCAGCGAGGCTGTTGTGCGATTCCGAACGAGCTTCGTCGCTCCGCCTCTCTCGCTCCCCTACGGGACGCCCCGCCAGTGCGAGAGAGACGGCGCGACGAATGCGTGTTCGGAAGCAGGCCTCTGGCGCTGTGTCCCGAGGACTCCGGGGCCCTCGGCCGCCGACGGCCCTTGGACGCCGAGTCGAGGGCAGGCTGCCGCTGGCTGCTGGCTTGTTCCTTTTACTCCGCGCCTTTTCGCGCGCCGCGCCTCGCCGCGCCGTGTAGCTGATCTATCACAGCGGAGAGCGTCGACCCCCAACGACCCAGCCCGGCCCCGCGGCCCCGCGGCTCCTCCAGGCAGGCTGGACCGGCTCCAGCGCTCCAGCGCTCCGGCAAGAACCTGGCCCGGCTGGACTCGCGGCTCGGCTCGTCCCGGCGCGGTCCACCGCGGTCCACCGCGCGGCGTGCCGTGTGCCGTTGCGTTGCGCCGTGCTGCACCGATCCGTCCACATTCCAGGGAAAGACGACGGAGAGGACGTCGTCCTGGCCCGTTGCCTGGAGCCTGCTGCCTGGAGTCACTCCAGCCGCGGCCTGGGACGGTCCAGCCTAGTGGCGGCGGTGGCGATAGCCGCCCGAAAAGCGCGCCAAACGTTTTGAAACGTCGGCGGCGGTCGGCGAGATGCCCGACCACACAGGGCCTCGCAGCGTACCGCTTGACTGGGACCGCTGGAGAGCGCGAGGAAAAGCGACGGCACAAAAAAACGCGGCCGCACGATGCATCGCGATGCTCGCGCTCGCGGCTCGGAAACAATCGGCCGTGCGAAAGGGCGTCCGCGGCGCTCGTTCGCCATTTTGCTGACGGCGCGGTGGCCGGCCGCTCCATCGACCTCGTCGGACGTCTTCATTTCCCGGTTTGGCGGCGCCGCGGCGCCGGAAACAAATAATAAAAACAAAAACAATAAAAAGGCGCCTGCGACGCCCCCGACTCTCAGCACCGCCGTTGTTCGGTCTGAGCGAAGCGCAACCCGTCGATGGCGAGAACAATTAGCCTGTGGCAATAATGCGCAATGGGGCTGTTTGCTTTCCACACGGTGGAAGTGTGTGCGCCGCCCGGCGCCGCCGCGCAGGAAGCAGGAGCAGGCGAAGCAGGTCCTCGTCGTGGCCGCCGCCCTGCCAGCCTGCCCGCGGACCGCCCTGCGCGCTGTGTGTACGCGCTGCTGCAGGTGATGATGTCAGTTTCACTCGAAAAGGTTTCTAGGATGCGTTTCACTATCTTGCGCGCGGCACGGCGTGGCACGGCGCGGCGCGGCGCGCGGTGGTACATGCCGACGCCATGCGGGCCAAGGCTCAGCGCCGCGCCGCTCCACGCCGCCGTGCCCAACGGAAGGACGTGCAACTAGGGCACTGGCAGGGCTAGGCACTCACGCCCTGCCGGCCCTGCCGCTGCGGCCCGGCCATGCCCGGCCCTGCCCGGCGTGACCAAGGTCAGGTACTGGCTCTGGTGGCGCCGGGCCGGCGGGTAGCCCCGCTCGCAAGGGCCGAGGGCAGGCTTGGCAGTCTGCCCCCAAAACGGCAACGGCGTCGTCGCGCTGCTTCGGCCCCGTGAACCGCTCCTGGAACTGGTCAAGCTTGCCCCGGAGCCACACACTCGCCGCACACGTCCGCGGCGACGACGCTGTTTTTTTGGTCTGTTTTGTAAGACTCCGTCGTGGTTCTGTGTTTTGGGTTTTTAGGAGGTTTCTGGAGCTGCCCGCCGGGAATGTCGCCATCCACGTGCGCGCCTTGGGCAGGCTGCCGCTGGACGGGACGACCTGGAGAAATAACTTGTCCAGCTTGTGACACCTCGGCTGGGAATGGGCCGGGAACCGGTGGCGACCGTTTGAGTGCATCGGGCAGGCGGAGGGGAGGGGGCCGCCTCGGGCCGCGGCGATACTCCTCGCGCGAGGTGCTGGCCCGGCCTGGCCGGTGTGGAGAGGCGCTACCCCACGCCCACTGCGCGCTGCACGGCGGTGGGCGCGGGCTCTGCTGGGCAGGCCGCACGCACTAGTTGGCCTCCTCGTGGCGGTGGTGCAACGCAGTGCCGCGCAGTGCAACGCAGTGCAACACCGCGATGTGCATAATCCCGGCTGCGACACGCCCTGCTCCACCTTGATTGAGAGGGACGCCTCGGCGTCGCGTCGTGTCGGCCCGGAGGCGGGTCGGACAGTCCGCGATGGATGGCTACCTAGCCGCCTGCCGGCCGATCCCGCTCATCGCGGTCGTCGTCCTCTCTCTCTCTCGCACTCATGGCGCGCCCGCATAGCCCGCGTAGGTGCGAGCGAGACAGAGCGACGTGGCGCTGTCCGGAATCAGCCTGCTGGGCGGACAGCGCGCCGCGCGTCGTCATAAACAGCCAATTTGTCCGCCACCTGTGCTGGGCTGGGCGTGACTGACGGGGCACGCGGCCCTGGCTCGCTCTGTCTCTCTCGCACTCGGGGCGTTTGCCGAAGGGCTGCGAGAGAGACGGAGCATTGTTCGGAATGAGTGTGCTGGTGACCCTCGTCGTCGCCCTGCCGCGCGCCACGCCGCCCCGACGCGTTGTCGTTGGTCGCTGCGCCGCGCCCGGCTGGAGTAACGACACACATCCTGCCGGCCCGCCGCGTCTCAATTGAATTGCGCGCCACTCTGGCCGGTGATGGAAGCCTCGCGAACTGCGCAGCGCGCTGCGCTAGCGCCGCCGTTGCCGCCGCCGTTGCCGCCGCCACGCCCGTGACCGTCGTCGGCCGCCGTCGTCGCGGTGCTCGCGTGGACGCCGATGACGTCTCTGCTCCGGGCAACGCGTTGCGACGGCAGAGAAAGCCCCTCCGCGAGTTGAAGCCGATCCCTATGCATGCATCTCTCCGTATTGGTGCGAGAGAGACAGGCCGCGGCGCGTCACGGCTCGTTAGCCGCGGGCCACCGCGGGTCGGACATCGGCGGATCGGCATTAGGGCCATTAGGTAATCCGGAAGCCCCACGCTAGTCCCTGTGCCCGCGCTGCGCCGCGCTCCCTGCCTCAGCAGGCCGATTCCGTGAGTCGTTGTCGTCGCGCTGTCCCTCTCGCACCCATGCGGGGCGCCCCGAGTGCGAGAGGGACAGAGCGACGACAACGACCCTCGGAATCGGCCTGCTGGCTCGCGCTGCTCGCGCTGCTCCGAGCGCGATCCCGGTCGTCGCCGTCTCTCTCGCGCTCATGGCACGACGCCGTAGGGGTGCGAGAGAGACAGCGCGGCGATACGCTGTCCGGAATCAGTGTACGGGCCCACCGATATTGACGCAGTGCTTCTCGGTGTTTGTTGCAGGACCAGATCGAGACGAACCTCAAGGCATCCCTGGACGAGCTGCGGCAGCGCATCGGAGAGAACGATCCAGGTGGGTGCATGGTGCAGCCATGGTGCAGCCGTGCCGCGTTGTGCGCGGCCTGCTACCAGTGTGGTGTCGCGTTCGCGCGGACCTCCCGCCCCGTCGCCAGCACCTTGACGCACCCCTCCAGCATGCCTCCAGCCCGTGCGCGCGGCCGTGGCGGCCGTGGCCACGCTGCCGCCTGGGTCCGCGCATCTTCTTTCGCGTTTCTGTCGCACAGTGGATGCGCGGGAGCAGGCGGCTGGGCTGCAAGGGCCGTCCCGGGTGCGAGGCGCTGCCCCCGACACCACGCCTCACTGGCGACTGGTTAGTCCGTGACACTGCCGCAACCACCTCGCCAGGGGCTTCCTGTAGGCCTTTATCCTCCCACACGCCATCTTGCTCCCCCGTCAGGCCGTCTGGCCGTCTGGCCGTCAGGCCGTCAAGGCAGAACTGATGGTACCGGTCGCAGGTTAAGCTGGTTAGGCCCCCCGTCACCTGTCGCTGCGCCCCACCCCTCCCTGCCCGCCCCGCCCCGCCCCGCCCCGCCCCGCCTCGCCCCGCCCTGCCCGCCCCGCCCCGCCCCACCCCTCCCTGCCCGCCCCACCCCGCCCCGCCCCCGCCTCGCCCCGCCCGCCCCGCCGTGCCGCGCGGTGGCCCTGGCAGCTCCCCGACGGCCGTGCCACGGGGCTTCGGGCTGCTCGGGGCCGGCCGCGCTCCGCGCTCCGCGCCCAGTGGGCCCGCGTCGACTACACCCGCGCCGTGGCCCGTGGCCCGTGGCCCGTCACCGGGACGGCTGCAGCCCCGTGTAGGCAGCCTCGCCTCGCTCGGCGTGGCCGCGTCGCCGGCGAGCCTCGTGCACCGTCATGTTGTGATCCTCGGCCTCGGCGCGGACACCATGAGCAGGGCCAGGGCCCCGCAGCCCGCGCCCAGCATCCTGGAGCGCATGGGCATCTTCGAGCAGGTGGAGCTGCGCGCCGGTCCCCCGGGCGGCACTGCGCGCGGTGAGGCTTCCCCGACCGCCCCGACGACAGCCTCCCCGACGGCCTCCTTGACGGTCCGCCCGCCGCGACCTAGTGCCCTTCCCCCGCCCCACCCCCACGGCCACGCTGCCACGGAGCGCGCACGCACCCCTCGAGCCCCTTACGAGCGGCGGGTAGGCAACACGCCCACACGGCTGCGCGACGGTCCAGCGGTTGCCTGCCTGGCGGGCGCTCTTGTCCTGCACACTGCCAGCTCAGTCAGTCCCCTTTGCTCGTGATGATCTTGAGCCGTTTGTTCTCTCTTTATTTAAATTTTGTAGATTTTGCCAGATTTTGTTAGACTTTGTAGACTATTGTTGGTGGTCGAAATGGTACAAAAAATTCGAAAGTATTTTTGTTGCGCCCACAAACTTAGTGTGTCCTAAATTTATGTTTCAAATTCCAGCGACTCAAAGAGAATGAAAAAGTCTCTTAATTAAAGGTACCTCTTGTCATTTACTGGAATGCATTCTGACGTGCTTTGGTCGTTGTTGCAGCGGGCATCTATTCCGAAGCAATGATCCCTGAGGCCGAGAGGATGGAGCGGTGCAATCAACGGAACCAGCCCGGGGGTCTGATGGGCGGAATGGGCCTGGGAGGACTGGGGAGGCCCATGCCAACAGGTGGGCCGCCCCACGTCAGCTCGGAGGGCCTCATCCTGCCTAGGAAGCCACAGAACCCTTGCCTGGACTCGACGGAGAAGCAAAACCTTCATCGAGAACTCATGTTCAACCAAAAGATGTGAGTGTATTTGCCATGTTGTGGCTGACGGGTCAGTCGTTTCTTGCAAGGACGGGCAGTCCAACATGAATGTTATTCTCTTATGTTTTAGGGGCAAAAGTCCTCTCAACCAGAAGTCTGAGCTTCAGCGTGCTCTGCAGACTCGTAAGGAACATCAAGTTAGGAAGGAAGCGGAGCTGCAGAAACAACAATCTAAGACCCCATTTGAGCAGATGATTGAGGCAAGAGCTCGCAAGCTGGAGTCTGTAAGTATATCATTGTTAAAATGTTTTAATCATTGGTCTCAGATTAAATCTTATTATCAAATGTCATTGCAGAAACCTGAAGAAAAAAACAACCTTGGAGCTGAACCAGAATTCATCAAAGTGCACGCAAAGCTGCGAGCAAAGATGGAGCCGAAGTAATGGGATATACTGTGGCTAGTCACTGGCAACTTTATTTGGAGCACGAAGCTCGTGTGTTACGCTGTATTCACTGTTGTTCTCATCACAACCGGACATCTCATTTGGCCTATGTAAAGAGGCTGCTGTATTTTGACCCAAGGTGCCAGTTGAACCCCTTACAAAAACTCAAGCCATTTCTCACAAAAAGCTATGTTCATGTTGGAACTAAGCTTAGCTTCCTGTGTTATGTGCCTCTTTCTGCCCTCCTAGGAAATGCCATATAGTTGAAAGATGCATTGAAACATGGTATTGCTTGTCTGTGACTCACATTTTTACTTTAAGAATTTTTATGCAAAGTGGACATTACTTGTGTGTTCTCTCCATCTAGTTTAGCGTTAGTTGTGATCTTATTTTAATATGTAACTGTTAGTTATTTAAATATACTGACTCCTACTTCCATCAGATTGTGCACAATGAATGTCAGGAATTCAGATGGTTCGCCATCTGTACTGTTCTTTTCATATGTTTCTTGCTTTAAGATTTTTTGTGTGGAAAAAGAACCCATTTGGTTGTACTCTTGACTTCAGGGATTTATTCCATTCCTCCAATATTCAGGATATAGTGATGTACTGTGCTGTGTTTGACAAAGTTTCAATGAGTTCTCCCAATGTTATTGTTCTAAATCATTGTGTATCAATCATCAGCAAACAAAAGCTAGTTTATATCACATTGATTGTGAACAGTTTCTTGACCTCAAGAAAGTGCATTTCTGTGAATAAATTAAAAGCCATAATTATTACATGTGACGTATTGTACTGTAACACAATTTAATTTCGATAGTCATTTTTGTGTTCATAGAATTTTGTTTTGAAGAGAGTACAATCCTATCAGTAGCCGTCTTTTATATTTTGATTTCTGGGGATAACATAATTGCCAATGACATTTATAAAATGCTTTCTTTTTTTTCTTTTGAAAGTGAATACCTCTGTCATGTTAAACAATCGTTTGGAAAAGTAAGATCAAAATATTTTCTTATGTGTCAATCACATTGCTTGAGTATCGAAATCCAGAATATTTTTGTAATTCTACTTGTGTGATTCTTAAAATTAATCATCGTGACTACAAAATTTTCTTATTTGTGAACCATACTGATGCAGTTCAAAATCAACATGTTCGTTCACACAGTTGGCTTGGAAAGAATTTAATTACTTCATGTAAGGCTAAAGCCATCTCCTAATTGTCTGGCACTATGACTGTCAATTTTTTGTAAAGAGAACCGTTATTTTTGAACAGTATTACTGTGGGCTTAGTCAGGGCTTTTAAGTCAGCCATACAAATTTGGTATGTAACAATAAATCTCCAATGTTTTCTCCTTTGTTTTTTTTTTATTTGTATTCTATTATTTTGTTTAGGTTTTGCTAATTTTGTAAACATTTGCATATCAAACCAATTTCTACCGGTGATATTTTTGTTTCAAATAACCTGAATTTGTTTGATACTGTAAGATGGTTATTATTAGATATAAGCTTTAGTTGTGAACAGCATAATGTATATGCCGGTGATTTAGCACAAAGTTGCTGCTTTGATTTCCACTTTTTCTATACTTTTAAAGAGGATCTCGGAGCAGGGACTACATCTTGTGGTGAATGCTAAACAATGATCTGCTTTTAATTCCTCTTGAACAATGTTGGGTTTGCTTGTTTGATGAATTGCCATAATGCTAGGATGTGTTATGGAAACTAGTGAGTAATTTACAGTTTTGTTAAATTTTCTTTGTTTATGAGTCATTTATTAATCTCACCAGAATAAGATTTGTTTTTTGTTTCCCTTCATCAATTTAATAGACTGATAGTACCTGTTAGATTCAAATGTATTCCTTCTTTAGTCCATCTTTCTTCATCTGCATCCAAGATATTCTTGCTGTAATCTTCCATCTGTTCTCTATTTCCTGCAAGCAGGTTTAACTTCACTTAACACTGAAACACTTCAGTGTTTCATTGTGTAACACTTCAGTGTTTCATTGTGTATGTTTGAAATTAGTGCAACAGTAACTTGAATATTAATAGCTTATCAAATCATAAAAATATGGTAAGATTCTTCTATCTTGTGTAAAAAGAAATGTTAAAAGTTGTACAGATTAATCACACACTATTTATCCGACGAATCAATTATGTATGCTAACGGAATCAGTAATTCAGTGGACAGAAAGAAGATTGTGATTATTAGCTTGTGTATAATTTCCTACTAGTATGTAAATAACAAACCCATTTCTTTAGCTCTGTGTACTTTAGCCATAGTTGTATGAAATTGTGGATAATAATGCAAAGTATTACTGATCTATAGAAAACTTCCTTATTATCATTATTTGTCAATCATGCGTTGTCTGACGAATTTCTGTAAGAGACCAAACATTCTGCTTTTGTAAATAATACTTGTTGTAGCGATAAAAATAAAGAGAATTTTCCTACATTGATGTCTTTTTTCCCTCCCCAAAAGAGACTACTTAAGTTGAATGAATGGTCCGGAAGTTTCCATCACAATAGCTTCAAACTGAGTGCTTGACATGATGTGTAATTCACGTCTTGGGCGACTGGTGGCGCCATCGCCTCTTTGGGCCGCAGCGTCGCAGCGTCGCTACCCTCGGCCACCGAGACTCTAGTCCGAGGCACGTGTCCGAGGGGTAACACGAGAGGAAATGACGGACAGTCAGTCAAGTTAGCTACCGGCATCGATCGCTTTGGAACGTGGAGGACCTTCGAAAAGTAGAAAGTTCAGTCGTACAACCTTCGGATCGCGGCTTGGTGCCTGGGGTCGCGATGTCCCTCCACACTTCAGAGGAGAGGAAAAAAAACACGCTGAATATTCTTTTACACTGGTAAATTTCGAAAATTATCGGGTACACCGGGATGAAAGTGGTGTTTCCGATCCGGTACAATTCTCCCGGACAGTCTCTAGACAATTATGGAAGCGCCCGTTATCAACCCGAGTCCCCACGATGATCAGAGACCAACACCTTTTTCCACCACCGCCTGAAGGCCTGGATATTTAACGCCTCAGGCTATCACGCATCCGGAGCGGACTAGCATGGTTTACTTCCGGTGTAAGCCTCAGTCATTCCCCACAGGAGCGAAACACTGATCGCAGTCCCTGCCGCGTGGGGTATGTCGCGGGCCCGGGGTAACGCGGGGTAGCGCGGGGTAGCGCGGACGCTCGCTGGAGGCAGCCGAGCGACGCTTCGGGCGCCGCCGCTACGCCGCTACGCCCGCCCGCACGCCCCACCCCTTGGACGGCACCGGGGCCTACCGGGGCCCTCCCCGGTCCCCGCCACATCGCGGCGCCGCGGCCCTGCCCTGCCTCAGTTCGCCGGCTGACGGCGCAGGGGGACGACCGCTTCTGAGGGCTCACGAGCCGATAACCCAGTGCTTCTTCAGAAGACATCTCTTCCACCGGGACTCCAGCACCCGTCCAGCACCGCCCTCGCGGCCCAGGCCCAGGCCCAGGCCCAGGCCTGCTACAGGCGCCGTCCTCTGCCTCCCAGACGCTCCTGAGACGCTCCTGCCCACCAAGGAGAGCCGCCCGGCCCGCCGCACCCCTCACCGCCCCGCCCTCCGACCCGACACTGTGAGTATTTGCAACCCTCTGCCGGTTCGGCGAGCGCAGGTGCGAAGGCGGCCTTGCGGACGGCCTCGACGGCGTCCTAGACAGCGGCCTCGGCGGCAGCGCCCCAGGGACAGGGGTACTCGGCCTACGGCGGCTGCTCGGGCCTCTAATTAATTTTTCAACGATGAGATTATGGGTGTAATTTGCGAAGTGCACTCCACCCGAGAAGCAGGCCTTGCCCACAAGGAATTGCGTTTCCCGATCGCCGATTTTGCCCCGGGGATGGTTGGGAAAACGGCACTGCCAGACAACAGCTGAGGGGGCTCGGACATGTCAGCTGGAATTGGCGCATGCGCCCTGGGGGCCGGGGCCTAGGGTGGCCGTGGGGTGCGGTGGGGTGGGGCGACTGGCGCAGGCCGACCTAGGCGTCACCGGGGTGGAGTGCGGTGCGGCGGGGTGGGGCGGGGTGGGGCGGGGTGGGGCGGCCAGCTGCCGCAGTACCCTGAGGGTTCGGCCGTTCGGCCCGGCAGCAGGGCGGCAGCAGGGCGGCAGCAGGGCGGCCACCCTCGCCTTCCCCGGGGAGGTGTGCCGTGCCGCCGTCCGCTACCGGCAGGACGTTGTTAGTCCAGGGGTGTTTCCAGGAACTGTCAAACCGAGGCCGCCCCTCTCGACGAAGTTCTGAGCGAGGAATTCGGTCGGGCCCCTTCCCGGACATTGAGGCCTTTTGCTTTTTGGCAGCAGCAAGACAGCGGGTGCGGGACGCACGGCGTCGTGGTCCTTAGCGGTCCTTGGCGGTCCTTGGCGGGCCGTGGCGCCGTGGGAGATGTGGGTGCAGCCGGGTGCAGCCCCGCGAGTCCTTCCGCCTTCCGCTGCGCAAGGCCGCGGCCTCCTTGTCCGCGGCGCAGTCCCCGTGTCGTTCCCATTGGCTAAATTGAAATACGATGACCGCCAATAAGAGAGAGACAAAACACGTGCGGGGTCTACGGTTTCCAGACGCACATATCCATCCGCCTTGGACTGGGCGCGGCGCGCGGCCAGGCTTGGCGCGCGGGGCAGGCTGGGGCCCTGCTTCGCCTGCTTCGCCTGCTTCGCCTGCTTCGCCTGCTTCGCCTGCTTCGCCTGCTTCGCCATGGCCGGCCGAACCCGATCCGCTGGGCTGGCGTCGCGCCGCCGTGCGCCTTACCGTGTCGATGCAGGCCGCCCCCGCCCCGCCCCGCCCCGCCCGGACAAGATGTGCGTGCAATCAATGGATGGATATCACGAGCATACCCTCTCAGATTAGTCATCCGGCCAGCGAGAGAAATGCATCGCGGCCTTGGAGTGAACTCGACCGTCGGCCAGCAAGTGGCGCGTGGCGCGGCTGCAGCGGGCTTTATCGCTGTCTCTCTCGCACCCAAGCGGGACGCACCGCGAGTGCGAGTGAGACAGAGCGACGAAAGCGCTGTTCGGAGGCAGCCGGCTGGCGGTGCTGGCGGTGCTGGCGGTGCTGGCGTCAGTGATGGAGTGCGAGTCCCTTGCCGCACGCCGCCGAGCACGCGGTGTTAATGAGTGCATGTCCATCCTGGCGGAGCGGCCTGCCTCTGACGCCTCTCTAACTCTCCCATCAACCCGCGGACTCCAAGATGCCCAAGGAGCTCCGCAAAGCGCCGCAAGCTTATGACCTTGCAGCATGTCCTCAACCAAAAAGAAATGCTAAAAGAGGGCAGCTTTTTTTATGAAGTTTTAGAATACGGCGTTCGACGATAAGATACATTTTGAAAACTCCCGCGGAAAGGCAGGATAGCATTTTCGTATTTTTGTCTGAACGTGCCGTTAGAGTTGCTGAGCATCTCATTTTGACTTGTTCCTGGTTCTTCTTTACAGCCACACATTCTGAGGGGATTCAATAAACAGGCAGCAAGCCGGTAACGCTTGCACTTGGCCCAGTCGGGCGCACTGCGCGGCGACCCGGCCGAGGGCCCGGCCGAGGGCCCGGCCCAGCGAAGTGAAGGTGGCCGGTGGAGTCAGTATGCAAAAGGGGAGGGGCTCGGGGCATCGGCGTGCCCGGGCGTGCCCCTGTTTTCACTGTTTTCTCGCTCCAAAAGAGCCGAGCGAGACGGAGGAGAGAGATATCCGTCTAATTAGAAATGAAGGAGCAAACCGGGACTGGTTATAGAAAGGCGCCGGCCGCAAGCGCAGAGTTCCGCTTCTCAGTTTTAAAATATTGCTGACTGTCGATTTGGCGACCGACCTAGTTCCATTCGTGACGCTGTTCATGGCATGACTGTCGCTTCCAGGCTTCCTTCCGGCTCGCACTCGGCACTTGCCAAGCGCGGTACACCAGGTACACCAAAGGTACACCAGGTACACCACTGGTACACCATAGGTACACCAGGCGCGGATCCAGAGACGGTTCCAGGAGGGGGAGGGTTGTCTTGCCTACATGCAGGGGCAACGTGCGACTATTTGCCTACCTTTCAGGTGGCATGGGTGAATGAACTGCACGGATCTAAGAGTAACCTGACACTAGTGTATTTTGAGACTGTCTTAAATGTCTGTTTTCGAAACAAATTAATACGCAGATGGTCCTTCACGTAAATTTTAGATTTGTTGACTCATAATGTTACATTGTGCGAAACATGACATGAACTCCGCTCAACGCAGTTGAGATTATAAAGAGCGGAGAATATGAATGAAATTAATTTCGTGACGACCGTGGTCCTGCAGGACTTCTGACGGACCGCCTAACGCTGACGCGCGGAACGACAAAGATCATCTCAATGAGCCATTTTCAACTTTTAGAAGTTCAACAGATACGGCACATACTTATACTCAAATTAAATAATCACAGAAGAAGTGTGGGGTTGGTGGGGCGTTGTACTCGGGCCTTTCGTTGCAGAATTGCGCACACCAAGCTACCGGGTCGCCTCAAGAGAGCCATCTCGGGCAGTTTATCGGGCTTCGCTGAGTCTTCTGCTTGAACACATGTTACATGTTTCAGCATCCAGCTCGAGAGAGCGAGGCTCGGAGAGCGGCCAGCGGCCAGCCCAGGGGCATGGAGGCCCCTCCCGGGGGCTCGGCCCCCGACCCGGCGCCTGACCCGGCCCCCGCGCCGGACCCATCGCCCCCGCCCGGGGACGGACCGCCCCCCGACGACGCCGTCGTGGCCGATGACGCCCCCACCGCCGTCGAGCCGGCCGGCGACACCATCGAGGACGTGGAGGCCGTCGCCGTCCCCGCCGCTGCCGGGGGACACCCGCCGCCGTCGCCGCTGTCCGGAGGCTACCTGCTCATCATCATCGGGGAGCCCCACTCGGCGGAACACCGTGACCTCATCCTGCAGCGCGTCGCTAAAGGTGAGTGCACTCCCCCAAGGAAAGCAAAAAATCTCATTCAACGAACGTTAATGAAAGCAGATGATACTCGTTTGGTTTTCTTCTACGGGGTAGTATGGGCTCATTCCAAAGATATTATTTAAAAACTGATCCCTTTGTGCCTTGGCCTGCACCGCCGCGCCGTGTCCGTTGGATTGCGAGCACCCGGTGCCCCTGGGCTGTAGCGGGGAGGGATTGTCAATGTTGCTCGCAGGCCGTCGCGCGCGAGGGGGGTGCCATTGTCGCGAATTCCGCGCAGGCTGCGCCGCAGCCAGCCACAGACAGCCGCACCATCCCGCCCCGGCAGCCAGCCCCTATTATATTGTTAGGATATGTACTTGGTTTTTGGACTCTCGAGTAAAAGCTAGCTGACACACTGAGAAAACCTTACAAACTATTTTGGGCCTTACAAAGAAAAGCAGTTTGTATAACAAAGTATTTTGAGCATACGTAAGCTTACAAAGAAAATACTTTGTAATTTACGAACTATTTCTTCGTATAACAAAGTATTTTAGTTTGTTATACGTATGCTCAAATTCGAGGGGGTATGCGCTCTCTGAACCTGTGTACCGACTATTACGCTATTACGCTCTATTACGCCACAAATTAATCAGAATTTAGCTAAAAACGGCCTAAAACACACCAAAATTGATAAAATTTTGACAATTTCGGCTGTTACGCGACTAATACGCGACTATTACGCGTATTATTACGCGTGCTATTACAGATAGAGTGAACCGACTATTACGCGAGTGCATACCCCCTCGCTCAAATTACTTCGTAAGGTTTTAAGAGTGCACCTTTATGTATCTTGTAGTTGTAGTTTTAGGTATGTTTTTAAGTAAAGGTATCATCTGCTAAAAAGTCCGTAGTCGTTGATGGGGTGTTGAACCAGCACTTTTCTGTTGGTCGACACGTTGTTCAAACAAGCGGCCACCGCAACCATGCGGGCACTGCCAAGGCACTGCCAAGGCACTGCCTGACGCACGGCCTTGTCACTCAGATGCCAGAGCAAGCCGCGCAACCTGTGATGGCTTATGGAGTTTGGCCGTGCCGTGGCCGTGGGGTGCAGAAAGTTCGGCTGGCAGAATATTGGGGCGGGGAGGCAACGACAGGCCGGAAACGACTAAGCAACTTGGTGCGGGAAAAAAACTCTGGCGGGGTAGGAGTCGAACCCGCGAGAGTTTGCACCGCCGCCGCACCCGGTCGTTTCGTCGCGGCCAATGAACGCGAGACGTGTGAGTGTGCGTCTGTGTGTGTGCCTGTGTGTGTGCCTGTGTGTGTGCGTGCGCGAAACTTGGGTTCCCGGAGGTCCTAATTGAAACGTGTGGAACCGTCGCAGTCGCAGTCCAGTCCGCATCCAGCAGCCCGTTTCACGGCTCGTCCCCTGCACTGCTAGGCTTGCTGCTAGGCTTCTGCTAGGCTGCGACGCTGCGAGGCGAGGGGCGGAGGGGCCGACGCCGTCTGCCGGGAAAGGGCACCGGCACCGCGGGCACCCTGCCGAGTCCGTCCTGGGCTGAACGCAAAAGTGCGCAAAACGAATTGGGAGAGAGGGTGGTTTCGAACCAGCGATATTTGTGTTGAAACTCAATGCTCTAGTTGGGAGGGATAGAGGACCACCCGGCAGTTGTACCCTTGGTTCACCTTGGTGTCCATATACGTACTCGCTGAAGACTGGACGTCTGCCGTCTGCGAGGCACCCCGACCCAACCAGGCCAGCGGGGCTGGAGCCTTGGTTTGCCCCCTCTTTGCCCCCTCTTTGCCCCCGCCTCGCCCTCCCCGGCGCCGACATCGAGAGCGTGTGGAAGGGCGGAACCGCGGCGGCACGGCACGGCACGGCGCCGCCCCATTTTGCGATGCCGCCGCCGCGCTGCCGCGCTGCCGCGCTGTTCGGTGCAGCGTTATAACGTCGTCGCGCCGGAATGGATTCGGCAACGCACCACCGAATGGTGTCGCCGACATCGAGGTCGCCGTCGTCGCCGTCGTCGCCGCAGGGGTCCCGCATCTACATTTCAAACCGGATACCCAGCCCTTCTTCCTCGGCCACGGGCCGTGCACGGGCTGATTCCGGGCAGTGTTTCGTCGCTCCGTCTCTCTCGGCCCGATCCGATCGCACCCTTGGGCCGTGCCGCAGGGGTGCGGGGTAAAGAGAGAGGTCCGCAATCGCTGTGCTTCCCTTCCGCACCCGCCCCTCCGCTGGCCCCGCTTGCGCTAGCTGCGCTAGCGTGACCCCGAACCCCGCGCGCCGGCCGGCGTCCGGCTGTCCTGCCGGCGGCCCCGCCCTGGCGCCCGCCGCCCCCATTTGGTTCCAGCCGACGCCCCGCGCCGCCGTGGCCAGGCCGTGGCCCCGCTGCACGGCACCACGCCACTGCAAGGCGGCGAGGCGCCGCCCGGCCCAGCGCGCCCAGCGCGCCCCGCGCCCGGCCGGCTATCGACCGAACCGGGCCGCTGCGCAAGGCTGCGCAGGGCTGCCGCGTTGCCGGGCGACGGACGCGGGGGACGCGGCCGAGGGTGCGACGGGCAGCCGGCCGGGCCGAGGCAGGGCCGGGGCGGGGCCGCGCACCGTGACGCAACGCCAACGCGTCGCGGGGTGACGGACATGGCCACGACGACGTGAAGGGGGCGCGGACGCGGAGGTCGATGTCGCGGCCTGCGGAAACCGTCATCGTCGGCCTTGACTGTCCATTTCTGTAGGCCGATTGCGAAAGCGCGAACAGCGTCGCTCTGTCTCTCTCTGGCAGTCTGGGGGCACCCCGAGCGAGAGAGACGGACTCAGCCTGCAGCTCGTCGCGCTGTCACGGCGCCGCGTCCGGATTAGCACCGGCCGCCGATATTGCGTCCCGAGATGGACGGAACCAGGGTACAGCAGGAAGGGGTAGGGGGAGGCAATTCCGCAATTCCGTGAGCACGGCGCAGGCAACAGCCGCACCTGCAGCGGGGCGGCGACGGACAGCTAGCCGGGTGGCGGGGCTGGCGCGGTCCGGGGACAATCGGAGATGAGCAGGAAACGGGCGAGGGGAGGGGGCGAGGAGCGAAGACGGGGAAGGAAAAGAGAAAAGGAAGGGTTGAGATTGACCAGGCCGCGAAAATTACTCTCTTCTCTTCGGACTGCCAGCCGGGACGCTCCAGCCCAGCCCAGCCCTGCCCAGCCAGCGCGGGGGTGGGAATGGGAATCACCGGATGCAATCACGGGGCGCCGGGGAACTCTGCAAAAAAAGATGTTCTTTGCGATGGCGAGCCGGAGCGCCGCCGGAAATCGTCTATGAGGCAGTGTGCTGGACGAACGGCTGGAGAGGCGATTTCGCAACATATTTCATGATGCGTTCGGTTTGCGATGGCGGGGTGGGTGGGCGATGGCGGGGCGGGGCGGGCGGTGGCGGGCCTGCCCATCACTTGCAGGCGTGGGTCACGTCTGAAAGTGCGTATTTTTCCTCCGGTCCTGCAGGGCGCTGATGTTGTTTTCGGGCTGGCGCGGCCCGCACGCAGCCCCGCACGTATTTCAGACCGCATTCCGACGCCAAGGACCCGACAGGCCGGAGGCAAAAACCAGCCCTCCCTCACGCCAGCCTGCGTTGCGCGCGTTGTGGTGCAGAACTGGGTCAGTGAGCACGATTTGTGCAGATATGAGGGTTGGGCCGGTTTTGCCGCCCTTTCTGCCTCGCCGCCCCGCCGCTGGCCGTGGTGTCCACCCAGGGCACGGGCGGCCCGCCCGCCCGGCCAGCCCGCCAGCCCGCCAGCCCGCCAGCCCGCCAGCCCACCAGCCCACTACGTAGCCCACCAGCCCGCCAGCCCGCCAGCCCGGACGGCACGAGCCGCACGAGCCCAGTAAAAGCAGTGACAAGCGAAAAACAAGAGTGGCGGCAGAGGACGCTGAAAAGAAGTACACGTCGGCACCCTCGTCCTTGAGGACCAAGTTACTGCGCAGGGCAGAGTGCCGCCGCGCGCGCCGCGCCTACCGAAGGACCGGGGGCTTTGGGGGACACCGGCGCCGTTTGGGACTTGTTCTAGTGCCGGGGGCTCGACCTGCCTCGGCCTGCCCCGGCCGGGGCTCGGAGTGGGAGCACGGAGTGGGAGCACGGAGTGGGAGCACGGAGTGGGAGCACGGAGTGGGAGCACGGAGTGGGAGCACGGAGTGGGAGCACGGGCACATCCCCGCTGGACTGGCGGGCCTCACGTCCGCGTTCATGGTGAGGGCAGGTGAGGGGGAGACGGGTCGGGGACGTCGGGGACGGCCGCGGGGGCGGGGGCCCCCCGTGGGACGCGTAGGGCTTCAGGTGCCCGGCCAGAATAAGGGCGTGACCACGTTGCCGAAATCCACGAGGAACGTGTAATGGCGACTCGGCCCGGCGTCGCCGCTCTGTCTCTCTCGCGCTCATGGCACAGAACGATGACACGCTGTTCGAAATCAGGCTGCCGGCACCGCTAGCCTAATCCGGCCCTGGTCGCGCCCTTTCCCTTACAGCAGTTGGATCAATGGCAATGAGTGACACCAAGGTGAGGGGAGGCTTTGTCCCTTCACCCGTCACGCGCCCTGCCCGCCCTGCCCGCCCTGCCCGCCCTGCCCGCCCTTCCCCGCCGCGCAGCCCCTCTCAAGTCACTGGGCCTCCCTCACGAAATATCACCTCGCGTTGCTGCTGCGGCGGCGGCGCCCCGGGCCGCAAAGCGGGCAAAGCGGGCAAAGCGCGCAAAGCGACCGCACTCCGGCAGCCTCCCCGCGCAGGCCCTCTTCGTCCTCCTGGTCGGGTGACGCCGTCCGCGCGTCCTCCCTTTGGGTGCCGCAGGGCCGCAGCGAGGCCCGCAAGCGAGCAGAGCGAGCGGCAGCCACACACCAAAGAGGACACTGACAAACAATGTTGCCGGGGGGAGCGCGTAGCCGGCGCAGCCCGATACCGCACCCCCTTCCGGAGTGTGGCGAGAGCGGCGGAGCGGAGGCTTGGCAAGGCTTGGGTGGCAAGGCCGGCCGCCACGGCACACGGCAGCAC